CGCTTCTCCAACTAGTTTTGTTGTGTTCTCTATTTTCTGATTTATTTGACTTGTTTTCTAATTCTTCAGTCAGGATACTCATCTTTTGAATGGGAACCGTCCCTGAAGGAGTGGAGAATTTGCCTTATCCTCGTACCTTTAAGGTATAAACATTAGGTGTGGAATTTTGGCTTTAAAGAATTCTTGCAGCATATGTATTTCAAAATATTTGTGGTATGGAAAGAAATAAATCTCTATTGATTAGGCTACGATGCATTTGGTAGCTTGGTGCACACTTGTATATGTGATGAAAAGAATACAAATTTTGATTACAGTAAAATTGCAGGTATTTTAGGTGCTTGATTTCTGAAAATGGGATAAAAAAAAAATCCAATTAGTTTCCTCCTTTGTGGAATTCTAATCCTAATTCCAATTTAAACACCCATAATTGGAAGCCTATTTAGAAGATTCTGCCATGTCTTAGTTTAGAAGTGTAGGATATAATTATTGGTCAAAGGGAAATGACTTGGGATACCTGAAAGGGCAATTACTTGTATTGAATGTGACTAAATGAAGTTTTGACCAAACTTGTTTGCTTGGACATTATGTCTGAATTAATTATTCTTTGTGACTGCAGGTACATCGCAAGATGTGCACAGAACTGATGAGGTTGGTTGATAAAATAGTAAGCATCTTTCCAGAAATAGAGTCAGCTCGACCAAGATGCTCTACGGGTTTACAGGCATTGTGCTCATTGAATAATGGAATTGACAAAGCGAAGTTACTTCTGCAGTACTGCAGCGAGTCCAGTAAGCTCTATCTGGTGTGTATCTTTGTTATCAATCAACTATTCTCTGAGTTTTCTATGTAGGGGACAATATGTATACTCCATTCTTTTCGCTTTTATTGCATTGTTATTTCCACATTCACCAAGAGCAGCCAAGTGGCGTTTTATTTACTACTAGTACTGAGTTGTTTCTGTTAAAAAAAAAAAAAAATTGGTACTGAGTTGTTTATGGATAAACATCATTTCCCTGTTGGTCTCATTTCCAGTAGAGTTTGTTGCTCAGTTGAAATGTTCTAAAATTAACAGTTTCTTTTCTTTCTTGCATTAATCAATTTGAATTGTGGTGATCTTGTTAACTTTCAGGCAGTAACGGGGAATGCAATAGTTTCAAGATGTCAAAGAGCTAGAAACATATTGGACCAAAGTTTATGCGAAATTCAGAATATGGTTCCAATAACATTGGCGGTTGAGGTTTGCCAAATGACATGCACTCTAAATTTATTTCCTTTTCTCCTCCTTTTATTTTTCATTTTACTATTGTCCCAACCAGCTATTTCCAGACGGGAATTGTATGAATGTAGCAAATCCTGCTGTTGCCTTTTTAAATTTTAATTACAATTATCTGGATAAGTCTTTGCAATAATAAATTAGTGTGCCCTAGAATGTTCTTTTCTTTCTTAAATTTGCAGTTATTTTTATTTTCCATTTAGAATTTAATAGAGATGATAATGGAATGTTCTTGCAGATTGCTCAAATTGTGGATGATCTTAGAGCTGCAGTTTTTATCTTGGACCCATCTGAGGAAGAGGCTGGGAAGGTTGTGCTAGAATTACTACAACCAAGTGCTACAGAATCTGACTCAATAGAAAATGCTGAAAAGAAAGCTATTCAACTTGCAGCTTTGAGGCTGCGTATTACATCCTCAAAGGATATGTTAGTAGAGAGAAGATCTATTAAGAAGCTGCTTGATAAAGTTAGTGACAGTGACCCAAAAAAGAAGAAGATCCTAAAATACCTTTGTTATCTTTTAATGAAGCATGGGAACTTGATTCTGGAAGAGCAGACTGAGAATGCCAGTGATCAGCAAGAAGGGCCATCTGCATTGAATAACCATAGTGATAATTCTCTATATGATCAATCTGTTGAAGCGGGTGCAGATGTGGAACGTGGGCAGTATGAGACTCAAACTGACATGTTAAGTAGAGCTATACCCCCTGAGGAATTTAAGTGCCCTTTATCTTCAAGATTGATGTATGATCCAGTTGTCATTGCATCTGGACAAACATTTGAAAGGATGTGGATCCAGAAATGGTTTGATGAGGGCAATGATACATGTCCTAAAACTAAAATAAAATTGGCCCATCAATCCTTTACTCCAAATGCTGCCATGAGGGATCTAATATCAAAGTGGTGTAAGCAGTGTGAAATAACCATTCCTGACCCAAATGTGCGATCAGTTGCAGATCACTCTTTGGAAACTTCTTCCACTTCAATTGCTAGTTTTGCCGGTTATATGAATGATTTACACATTCCAGCAGATATCAGCAACATATCACTTGGATCTTTAGATATTAGTTCTACTTCAGATTACTCACATGCCAAGATTGTAAATGGGTTATGTTTGAAATCGGAACAGATGTCTTATGATCTTTGCAGATATCAGTCTTCCACAAGTGTAACTGAGACAGTGCTGGAATCTCTGTCTAAGCTTGATGAGCTTCATTGGGAGGAACAATGCAAAGTGGTTGGAGACATGAAGGATCATTTGGAACATAACAATCATGTTTTCCAGTCATCTGAAAGTTCTCTTGAATCCCTCCTCAAGTTTTTGAGAAGTGCAAATCATTCACACGATACAAGGGCTCAAAGAGCTGGTTTTGAGCTGTTACTGGTGTTAATTAGCAAAAACAGGTGATTTTTTCTTTGACATTTGATGCTAGCTATAGTGGCACGTTTTGGAATTTGAAGTAGTTTAATTCAGGGTAAATCTTTTACCTTTTTGGTATGTTCCAAACTTTCATGATAAGTTTACCATCAACCATATAGTATGGTGGTAGAGTTACCTGTACTTCAGCTTCCACCCTTTCTTCTTGAATGGAGTACTTGGGAGCTTTAACTTATTGCCCTGATTCTCTTCCAGTTAATACAAAGTCTCATGCTCAAGAAAAAAAGAAAAAAGAAAAGAAAAGAAAAAGGTTTCTGTTGTGGAATTGCATTACCTTTTGACACTGTCGAGGATTTTTAACATGTTACCTTAACTTTTTTTCCTTTACGTGTTCTGATTTATCCTGATTTATCCTGGTTCATTCTTCTTTTGTGCATGAATATTGCAATTTAATCATTGCTTGGTGCTGCTTCTTACAGGGATGGAATACACTATCTAGGTCAAGAAGCATTTACGCTATTGTCATCTTTTCTCGACTCAGAGGTGATTGGAGAGGCTCTTCATGTTATGGAACTGTTGTCTGAGACCCCCAACTGTAGATCTAAGATTGTTGCATCCAGTGCTCTTCCTTACCTTGTGAAGATTCTTGACTCACATGTCCGAGATTTCCAGGAACGAGCCATTAAAATCTTGTGTAATCTGTCCTCAATCAATAATGTTTGTTCTGATTTGGTATCCTTGAATTGCATCCCTAGATTGGTTGCATTCTTATGTGATGAGACACTAGCAAGACACTGTATGGTCATTTTTAAGAATCTGTTGAATAACCAAGAGGGTAGAGCTTCCATCACTTCAACTACTGGATGCATTGCTTCTATTGCTGAACTACTTGAGACTGGCAACCGTGAGGTCCAAGAGGCTGCAGTGACTGTTCTCCTTTCTCTATGCTTGCAAAGTGTTCGACATTGTCAGTTGGTCATGGAGGAGGGTGTCATCCCTGCCCTTGTCTATATATCTAAAAATGGCACTGAGAAAGGAAGAGCAGGTGCATTAGAACTGCTGCGGATCCTGAGAGATATCAGCCATGACAATGAACAAGGAAGCTATGGAGCAGACCTTGTCACGTCTGAAGATGCTAGCAACTCTTCCAAAGAAAATAAGTCATCCAGTAAGACATCAAGGTTTCTTGGATTTTTTGCATCAAAAAAGAAGAAATGAAACTTATTCATTGATCTTGTTTTGTACAAAGAACTGCCCAATGGATACTTTCACCTTGCTTGAAGTGATTTCCTTTTCTGGAATGTGGCAGCAATGTCATCATGTTATGGCTAAGTGTAGTTAGTTGTTGAAATGATTTGTCTGCCTCACTAATTTCCAAGATATAGGTTTTTTTTTTTTTTTTCTCTTTCCTATATTTGATTATTTATATGATGTATATCTGCTGCCCTTTCTCACTATCTACTTGATAAGAATGTACAGTTTTTCTAAAGAAGTATAACAACCTTCAAATAGCTGCATTTTATCTTTCTAGTCAGGCAGAGGTTTCCCCTTGTCTGTCAGGGCTCTATTTCTCCCACAAAAAATGCCCTTATCCAAATCAGTGGCAAAATCTCAGTCTGGACTCCATGGATAAAGGTATGTTTTCCTCTCTTAGAAGTTTTTTGGAGTTCACTTGAGCATAGTATCATAAGATCTGAATTAACATATGTTGTTGGTCATGGACTCCGGTATGTCCATGACCAGACACTAGCATAAACTCAGTAGAATTTGGTTCCAATATCAATCACCGGTAGGTAAGTATTGGGTGTTTGCAGGGGATGGTAGCTAGCAGTGGGGCTGAGCTTAAGACTAACCTAATGGTAGGGTAGTAAACAGCCTTCATGGTCATATCCTGTCGAGACACACCCATATGAATTGAGAAGAGGTCCTCCCAACACTTATCCCACCATTGGTCCCCCAACCTACCATCACATTCATCACCATGTCCATTATTCAAGCTTATAATTTACTGACACATCAGGGTCCTTAGATGTGATGCTCTATCTTTCTTTATCAGTGCTAAATGCCATGTACTGATATTGCCCCTTATATTTAGCAACTTGACGTACCCTGTCCAAAAGAAAAGTCCCAAAGCACAATCAATTAAGATTAAGCGATGTTTTGGCTTCAATGACATTGACTCCATCTAATTTACTCTTTGCATTGGTTATATCCATGAGAAGATAACTCTGTACCTCTGCATCGTTTTAAGAATTAACAGGTTTGTCCATGTAATACAATCCCAGGCAGAACAAGGTGTCTGTTCTAGTTGGGTTTTATGATGTTTGGCTGTAGGTTATAAGATTTATGATAAATGGATTAAGCTTTGTTTTAGAGTGCAGTGGTGTAAGTTTTGTCTTTTTTATTATATCAGACATATATAAGTTATTAGCAATTAAATAAGTATTAAATTATATTTTTATTTATATTTTTAAAATATTAAGAAACTAAAAAAATTTACAGTGACAATAAATCACTTCCAAACAAAGCCTAGTATAAGTGGGTGGCTTTGCCCTCCTAATTTTTCTTTTCTTCTGTCATTTCGTTCAAAGAAAATGAATTAAGCAGTGAATTTGTCTTCTAATGTACATAAGCTGTTTAGGAGACAAAAAGTTCTATTAAGACTGGTTTTAAAACGGCTAAATTTTATGTTTGATTCATTGATTATTGACTTATGGTCACTCTGGTTTTAAAAGTTTATACATAGGTGCCATGTAACCTAGCTAAGAAAATTACATCTCCATAATCATAAACTAATGATTAGAACATTAAAAGAGACATTATTATTAATTGTTCAAATATTAAAATAAAGTTAAGGAAATAAGTAATTTGAGTTTTGAGGTTGATTATGCCCTGGTTATTATGACTAGTATAATTGTTAAAGTAGCCAACATTCTTGAATTGAATGAATAAATAAGTTATTTAATAATAATTATATATATTCGTGACCTTAATAATTGTGCTAGTAGGTATAACTGGGGCTTGATTATGAGTTAAAATGTTTTTATTTTTTTGGGCTAAGTGCTTCTACAAGTATATTTTAGTTCAAAAAACTACTAGAAATATAGAATCTTGACAAATAAATTAGTTTGGCATAAGTTTTGAAAGTTCTAATTTGAAAGAAAATGAATTTTTTAAACGAAAGTGATAACAAACCTATATTAAAGACGCACCTAGCCCTTGCGGCCTAATGGCAATAGCTACTCCGGTGCATTCCCCTCTTCCCGGGCTGGGTTCGAAACTTGTCCCTTGCAAATATGTTCAAAAAAAAAAAAAAAAAAACCTATATTAAAGACTAAACATTTAAAAGCTGCTTTGAAACTAGGAACCATTATTTTAACCACTGGAATCGTGCTTTGCCTGTGCCTATATCTATTTCATATATTGTTTTTAACAGCACAACGCAAAAAAGAGCTGGAGTAGCTCAGTTGGTTAGAGCGTGTGGCTGTTAACCACAAGGTCGAAGGTTCAAGCCCTTCCTCTAGCGTTTTTGTTTTCTCCTGAATTCAATGCTGGTTAATGAGTAATTGAACTGGGGTAGTAATAACATTACTAATCAAATTTCCATTAATTTAGAATTCAGTCATGAAAAAAAAAAAATTTATTACTTATTTTTTTATTTATAAAACTTAAATTGAAAGAAAAACTATTAATTCTTTCCCTCCGAAACAACATGCATTATAATTTTTTAATCAAATTCTGCAATTTTTTTTTTTTTGCTCTTGTATACTGAAGAGTTATTATTTGGTAACATAAGTTTGAATCTCCTACAACTGATTGACGAAAACGCTAACATTAGTCTGCAAAAATTGGATTTTTTTGTTTGTTTTTTATTTTTAAATTTCAGAACTCCCCAAAATATCAGCACCAACCTCTGGAAACCCCAATGGAAAACCCCGTTTTCTGTTGAATGGACATCCTTACATGGCGGTTGTGTCATTTGGGGGCCCATTGGCCACAGCTCCCATTGATGGCTCAACATTTTTCTCTTCTTCATCAAATATATTTCCGCCAATTTCCTCTTAACAGTACAATCCGTTCAAAGGATTTCTCAAAAGGGTCTATAAAAAGATGGAACAGAAAACCCAAATCCGGAAATCTTTCTTTTCTTCTCCGGAGATGCTACACCGTCTGTACTCGCCGGAAAGGTGGACCTTTAACGGTACGGACGTGAGTGCGCTTCAGAGACAGCACGCCGGGTTGAAACGGCTGCAGCAACAAAACTATATTGTTCAAAACAATTCCGTTGAATTCGGTTCAAATCCATTGTCTGGGTTTCGGGGTTTGGTCAGCAGCAGTTTTCACGTAGTTGGGGCAGAAGGTTTTGTGCCATCGGAGGCTGCGATGGAACAATGTAGTTCTTGGACTTCTGGGTGCATGACGGCGGAGATGGAGACTGTGAAGTTGAAAGAGATCAATTTGGCTTTGACGCCTGAAAGGGACAACTCAAACAAGAGAAAAGCAGAGGTGTGTTTATCTGTCTTAACTAATTCACTCGTTTTTGCTTCTCTCATGCTTAAGGATTCCATATGTTTTGGCCAAGGCATTGAATTCAATGGGTTTCCATTCGTTAAAGGAATTTAAACTTTTGTTGTTCAGATTGCTGCCGATGAGAGATGCATAGAAAAGAGGAGTAAAGGAGAGGTAGGAATGGAGTACTCAGAGGTGAAAGCAAAATGCAGCAGTACAGAAATTTCAGCAAATACTTCTTCAAAGGAGAATTCCAAGGTTTCAGAAGTTGAGAAGTCTAAATACATTCATGTACGGCCACCTCGGGGCCAGGCCACTGGTAGCCACAGTTTAGCTGAAAGAGTAAGTTGCAGAAATTTCAACTAAAATTTATGCCATTTTTCCCTGAAAAAGTTTCCATAATGTTTGGTTCTATCTGATATATGCAGGCCAGGAGGGAAAAGATTAACAGGAAAATGAAGTGTTTACAAGAGTTAGTACCAGGATGCAGTAAAGTAACAGGGAAAGCAGGCATGCTTGATGAAATAATCAACTATGTTCAATGTCTTCAAAGACAAGTTGAGGTATAAACATGGATTTACTCAACTTTGATTGATCCACAATGTTACGTTTGTCATAACTTATCCGGTTGAATTCTAATTTACTTGCAGTTCTTGTCCATGACACTGGCTGCTCTAAATCCAAGCCAAGAATTCAACGTTGCTAATTTCCCTGCAAAAGAAGTAAGAATTGCAACCTCTAGATTTCTCCTTTTCTTAGTGATTGTTGGAGGAAATGGATAGCTAGATGTGAATTCTTTCCTAACTGACTTGTTTTTATATAATCATGGGATGAAGTTTCCTGCTTATATCACCAAATTTCCAGCAGCCGCTAAGTTGCCAGCACTAGCCAATCGAGCCTGCCTTCCATTTTTCCCAACTCAACCAGGAGCCACAAATTGCATGCCAGATGTGGCATTGCATTCCCCTCAAGCATCTATTGAAAGAAACTCGACTTATTCTGTATCCACCTCGCAACAGACTCTCAACTCATCTGGCATCTCTGTAATTTTTCTTCCAGTCTACCTTTTTAAGGCTTTAATATTGTTTTGATTTCTGCAGTTATGTTATCTCTTATATGTATCAAAATTATGTTGCAGCAACTCGGACCCCTTTCATCTTGGAGTTTGGATTCACAAGGTCTTTATGATGAGTACAATACGGGGTTTCAGTAAAGCACTGGCATTCATCTTCGTTTATTTCAAAATTATCGGCTAATATCCAGCCTCTAAGGACACCTGCTGCATTTTTATTCTGTGCATGGGAGTTTCAGTACCAGAATCAACTTCCATCAGCAGTATGCCTTCCTCACCTGCTGCATTTGAACTGGTTTCACTGGCATCACTCCTGGAAGTGTAATTTTGAACGCCATTCACCCATCTTACAGAATTCATTCCCTAGGGAAACCAATTTTTTCTACATGTATATTCAGATTGTTGGAACATTATAATCCATTATGATTTCTGCTAATATTTTAAGAAGTTTCCACTGTGCAGTGTATAAATGCAAGGGGCGTTGCATCTTGTCTACATCTTTTCATTATAAAATGATATAGGTATGTCTTATTGGGCTGTGAATGTGGAGACGAAGTGGAAGAGGACCACAACCAGATGCTGCCATTAAAGCTGATAGAACTAGAAAATGACAGACGGATTTTGGTTGGAAACTTTATATAATTGTTGGGCCATGAAAGGTGATGGCGATGAAATTGAAAGGAGGGACCCTACTATGCCCAATTTGTGGCTATTTGGATAAAACTTTGTAGTTGTCAAACCCCATTTTGCATAACAAATGCAAAAAATACAGCTATCTTAACCAACTATGAGCATTGGAATAGTTTTGGGAAGATGCAATTCCTTCTAAATTAAGGTTAATATAGGTAAAATCTTATCTCATAATAAAATCTTACAATATATGTTATTAAATAAGTGAATGTATATTAATTTAAGCCTCTTGGCAAGTGAAAGAGTTCATATTTATTACGAGATGAGATTACGTAGTAGAACGTAAGAATCATTTTCCTTTTGGAAGAAAAAAATAGGTAGGATCATAGTGGTCTTTATTGAAAATTTGATAACTTTATTGAAAGCTTGAAGTTGGTCAAGGTCCTAAATGAGAAATTTGAAAAATTGCTTGATATCAAATTTGCATTTCATAATTTTGCAGTGCTTCCACCATAAATTTCCTCAATTGATACACAAAATACAAATTACAGTTAAGCGGGTAAATACCGAAACAGTGATTCTTGGGGAAGCGCGAGACGTGGGGTTTTGTTATGCATTAGGGTTTTGTCTGTCTGCAGAATCGAATTAGGGTTTCATCTCAAATGGCGACAGAGTCATCGGAGTCAGAAGAAGAGGGGAAGATAACCGGAGGGAATCAGCACCTCACAGTGGATGATGACCTCAGAGAAATGGGCAAGATAGCTGCTTGGAGTGTCAGCTCTTGCAAGCCAGGCAATAGCGTCTCCTCCCTCCGCGACGACAACCTTGATACCTATTGGCAGTAACTAGAGCAACTGCAATCTTTTCTGAATCTCCTTAATTTCACTCTCAATTCCCAATTTTGAGTATTCACATATTCTTTTTCTTGTGGATGTTGCAGATCAGATGGAGCGCAACCACATTTGGTTAATATTCAGTTCCAGAAGAAGGTCAAGCTGCAAGTATGTTTGCTGCTGATTTTGTTTGATCATTTTATATTTTTGGTGGTGGGTATTTGTGGGTTGATTGCAATTTTTTGGATTTTGTTGTGTTTTGAAGTTGGTTGTCCTTTATGTGGATTTCAAGCTTGATGAGAGCTACACGCCCAGTAAGATCTCGATTCGGGCTGGTGATGGTTTCCATAATTTGAAGGTGTCACTATATGACTCTATATTTTGTGACTTCCTCTCCAATCAATTTTCATTATTAAAACTGAGGACGTTTCAATTTGGGTAATTTGGCTACAATTTCTGCTAATGGTTTGCAGGATATTAAGACTGTGGAGCTTGTCAAGCCTAGTGGTTGGATATATCTATCCCTATCTGGAAATGATCCTCGGTGAGTGGCAAAAATTTTGTTTCTGATGTAGTGTTTCTTCTGCTATTGTTGTTTCAGGTATTTGCACGTTGAACCTCTGTTTCTTTTCTGTTGGATATTCTGCTGATCCTTTTCATCTATTATCACATCTATTATCACATCTATTACAATGTGCAACATATTACTTAGAGATTGGTGAACCAATTGATGAGCAAATTTACTACATTAAAAACCACTTTTCGATCTTTAATAGCAGCTTGAAAGATTTCATACTTGGGGCGAAATTGTTTAAATGATATGAAAACGAAGTATTCTTTCAATTTTAGGGTTAATTTTTGCATATCCAAACATTTAGAATGTCTTGTTAGTTGTGGATGCAATTATCAATGTACATTTTGCATTTGCATCTTCAAAATTATTTAATTGTTTTATGCTACTTTGCTATGGAATGGTCAGATTGCTTCCAAAACAAGGTTGAATCCAGTTGTATCTATTGTATTGATTACCATGCAAAAGAAAAGAAACCAAGAAAATAATGCCCTTCCTCTTGCGGTGAAGGATTTTCTATTGGTGTTACTATTTGGCATTTTTGAGGCATAGGATCCATAACCCAAACAAACAGTACTGAGAAGTCTATGTTTGGCTTGTTTGAATTACGTATGCAGAATTTTAAATTTCATCAATAATGCTAGTAGTTATATTGCCATAGCATTGCTAATGAACGTCTATGTTTTGACACTGGGCCATGAAATTGGTCACTCTGCCTAATTTTTGAGGAAGTTGCACAATTTGTATTGCAGGGAAACCTTTGTCAATACCTTTATGTTGCAAATTGCTGTGTTGTCAAATCATCTGAATGGGAGGGATACCCATGTGCGCCAGATCAAAGTCTATGGGCCTCAACCGTGCGTCTTCTTAATCCTTTTGTTCTTTTACTCATCAGTTTTTTATTAATAATATTTAATCTGCACCATTTTTAACATTGAATGCTCTCTTCCAGGAATCCTATTCCGCGCCAACCATTCCAATTCACTTCAAGGGAATTCATCACTTACTCTACCGTGAGATGAGAAACATTTGATCTGCTGGCTTAGAATTTGGGGAGAAAGGATGTAATAGATTCTTGACTTCTTGTGTTAGTTTGGGCAGAATGAAGCATGTTGATAAAAGAAGCAGAACCCACTTTGGAACAAGAGGAGCTTCTCATAGAGATGTAGATTCTGATTGTATCTACCAAAACTAACATGGAAATGTTTGTGTTAATATGGAGTCTCATGGCATTCTGCTTTGAGCAACACAACTTAAAGCAACTCGAGTAGTTTTTCTTTGGTGTTTCCTTTTGTGTTCTTCAGTGATTATGAGATCTTTTATTCCGGAAAAGAATAGAGAAATTTCATGTTATCGCTCTGGCATCTATTTAAGTTTTTTTGCTCTGAGCATAAAGAGTCAACAGCCGAAAACTTTTAGTCATCAATGATAAGGAAGTAGCTTTTATTTTCTTTTGCTAATCCTCTAGTATTTGGAAGTCATAATGAGTTTTGATTAATTTAAAGTTACATCAAATCTAATTCCATACTCAAACAGGAAAATACTAACTGAATAGACAATATTTGCTCCAAATCTAATTCCAGCAATGCCACATTGTTTGAACAGCATTCAAGTCAGATTCTTTTATCAGAACAGCTAAGATTCGGCAGTGAACTGCCATGCTAAATAAGCTTCCATTAGAATATATAATTGCTAGCAATGTACAAGAAGCATTTAAGAAAATTATATGTTATAACCTGGTTATCGTTGATGGGCCTGTTTGGTTCAAGGTTGTTCAGGCTGATTGCAAAGGCTTGGGAATGGAAATCAAGGCAGGTAACCATAACCCATGACAGTGTCAATGATATGTATTTCCATTCTCCACCACCTTGTTTGTCATTCACACGCTGGTTTTGTGTCAAAGCTGCTCAGGCAAATTGCAAAGGCTTGAAAAGCTGATAGAGGATATCCATAATCCATAGTGAATATGTCCGTTCCAATCTTTCCAAATTGTAAGATTGACTTTTCTTGCTCTTCAGGTGTGAAATTATGTGATTGCTCAACAGCAGCAACAAGCTGGAAATTCTTCACAGACGCCACTGTAACACGCCCTTTGAAATTAAGGCACCAGCACTGTAATTGCTCGTGCCATCTTGGAGCCTTGTTTCTAAGGATTAGTGGCTCTCCAGCACCTGAGGACAGAACTGGTGTGGCGGGGAGGCTTGGAGAGCTGGTACATTTCGAACCTGGCATGGGAGGTAATAGCTCATCAATGGAGTTTGCAAACGATGATGGTGTTGGGGCAGTTCCTCCCTCCTGAATAGCAGTGACAGGAATTGAGTGCATGATGCAATGAATTCTCCTTGGCCCTCTTGTCCGTAGTACATTGAGCTCATAAGTGATGCTGCCTACACTATAGTTGCAGGCAGGCAACTTTGGAGAAACCTGCTTAGAGTGGTATCGGCGAGTTGATCGACTGAATGGTTGAACTCCCAACTCACAAGGAGGTTGACTGTCATATATGGTGAACTTGGTACCCAAAAAATTAGACCTGACAAGTATTTGTCAATATGTTGTCAATGAGAAGAGAATTATAGGACAAAAATAAACAGGAAATATAATGTCCAAGACTTACCTTAATTTACCAATATACGCATTGCTGGCCCGCGAAAAATCATTTGCAACCAAAGATATCACAAAGTCTGTGCATGTTGCCTTTCTCACCTTCTTCGCTGCTAACAACAATTTATCATTTTCGCCTTCAGCTGTAATTTCAGTCACAACATAAGTGGAAACTTCCTAGAATGTGAAGAAACTTCATTGTGAATCTTCATTTTATCATATATTGTTAGAATGGGAATGGAAGAAACAAGGGCTATTCCAAAAGGAGATAACATTAGCAAGAGTTGCCTCTCAAAAGAATGTTGCACTAAAAGCTTCCGACTGGAAAAGATACAGATTGAAATCTTATGGCTGTTTACAAACACATAAGGCCTAAAAGGGGAAGGAAGAGGGGACAAGCAGATACTCACATGCAAATGTTTAACTACCCTGGCAGTTAATTTCATCAACTTCAATTACAAGGGACAAAATTATTAGAGAAAATATATTCTTAATTAAATATGAAAATACTTTTAGAAGTATAAAACTATGGCAAGTTAGAACCGCAGATAACAGAATAAGAATACTTACAAGGAACAAGAGCATGGTACAAAAGATAAGTAGAAGTTACTCTGTCCCTTCTTATATAGCATTGTATGGGGGAATCGCGGGGACCCGGCTGTTGATAAAACAAATGTATAAAAATCAGCTAACTTGCCTACTGTCCTATCCTCAGGTGCACAGCATAACATTTTTTCTTTCAATTAGAGAGAGGAGTGAGAGGAGTATGACCTGCTTCAATGAGATGGGAAATGTAAGCCTTCCACATTGCTCGGGAGTTTTGACAATCTCCTTAGTAATTTCCCTCCAAGACCTACAAACCAAAGCACAAAAGATAACTGCAGCCCGGGCAGGCCAGGTTGTCTCACTCTCTTCTATCCTCCGGATGATGTCCAAAAGCAATTCCTGTGGTAGGTTAGCCCACGGACTCTGTTCGACGACCTCGGGTTCAGTTGTAGCTAGATCAGGAACAACATGTGATTTGGACCTGCAAGGCCAACGCCTGCTGTCCCCTCCTCGCCTTGATATGCTTCCAATCCCATCTTTTAACTCCTTCAGCTCCCGGACTATGCTTTTAAAGGGTATCATTATCCAGTATATTAATTCAATCTCTCAACATTCATCTGCAAGATTGCAACCATAGTAAAGCCATAAAATTCAAACCCCAAATGACCAATTTTGAAAAATGAAAACAAAGGGGAATACTTGAAATTTTCTTCATGTCATTTATCATTTAAACTACTCAAAAGTTGGGATCTAATCTAAGCTAAGCAAACGAGTATCTTTCTTTGAATCAAGAAATCACAAAAATTGACAGTTTTATAAGACTATAATTCCTAAAACCAAACGTCGATCTACTAATGAAGGAATAAAGTGTGCTCAGGAGAAACGAAAGGCTTTTCCTTTTATCAAAAATATTAGATCAGCACCTGAATCATCACCGAGAAAAGCGTAGAATGAAGAAGAAGAAGGTGAGTGAATCAACCCTATACAACCAGCAAAACTCCACTTTGGCCAAGCTGTAAGGTCCGCCAACGGAACAAGGCCAAAGGATCAGATCGGAAAACGGGAAAAAGAAAACCAACTTCCGGCAAACGCGAAATTCGAAGATGGCCGTTCAAGTTTTTAATCCTGCCATGTCCAACGCCGCCTCACCAGCTCCGGCGTCACCCTCCACTGCCACCGTCGCAAAACCGCTTTTAGTAAATACACTGTCCTCCTCCTCCTCCGTTCCAGAGCAACTGGACTCTCTCCTTAAAAGGGATCAAGCTAACAAGCTTCGCTTATTATAGTAAATGCATTATTTAATGAAGCAGATGCTGACTGTCAACGACTCAGCGTGATTTTGGAGACACGTGGCACGTAATCCGTAGCTACGTCCTTTACGACACACCAAATAAACAATAATACCCCCGTATTTCCGAATTTTAAATTAATTTTTTTATAACGTGTATTTAAGGTATATGTTAAAAATATATATTTTTATATTAAAAAATATAAAAATAAATATTAATTTTAAAATTAATGTATTTAAATAAATTTAATTAAATATTATTTTTTTTGAACATGCAATTAAATATTATTTTTTATTTGTTCAAGCTTTCTAATTTATACATTTAGAGTATATATTATAAGTAATGACTTATTAATTTAAGTGAAAAAAATTTGATTTTTTAAAAATAAAATTTTGAATTTAAATCTTGTAAATGAAGAAATAAATATTGTGAGAAAATTTTTTTTATGTGATTCATCGTAACTCAATTATAAATTAATTAAGAATAAATATGATTATTAGGTATTAAGAGATTAAAAAATATATATTACAAAAATCCTTTTAAATTATATAGTAAAAAAATGATTTCCAATTATCCATAATAGCGTTATCCATAATCCGAATTTTAAATTACATTTGTGATGGATAGACAGTAGACGTGGAGTGGGGGGCCCCCAGATCGTGACGTGTAGGTCAAAGTAGTTGCGGAGTACCATGTCAGATCGGAGTCTCAAATGTCGGAGCTGCACGTGCCGTAGACCGACCGAAGCACATCCCCACAAACCTGCCACCGGCCGTATGTTAGTACCGTATAAATTTTTTTTGGATTTTCTAACATATATCTAAAGTATTTTCACCAAAAAAACATATATCTAAAGTATTTCACCAAAATATATATATATCTAAA